GTGCTGCTGGCTTCTCGCGAGTTTCCTTCTCTCTGGAGATGGGGAAGTGAACCCAGGGCTGGCACACAGGCTGAGAACTCTGCGAGTGTTTTGCCAGAACGTCTGCAGATTGGGGAACAAGTTATGCACTCTGCGCTCTCACTGCGGCCAGCTAGCTGGCTTCGATGTTGTCAATCTGACCGAGACGTGGCTCGGACCACATGTGCTAGACCCTGAGCTACAGCTTGGCCTTTCGAACCATGTCTGGTTCCGAAAGGACAGCGACGGCAGAGGAGGAGGCGTTGCTTGCGCAGTGAAGACAAGCCTGTCACCTGTTCATCGACCAGACCTGGAGCCCGATTGCGAGGCGTTGGCGATCATCATGGTGTTGGGGACCATCATCATAGCTGTCTGCTACCGTCAGCCAGATGCTGACCGTGATGTGAATTTGATCGCTGCCTTCTTCCAGAGCATTCGCTCCGCCAATCTCCGTTTCTCATCATGGGTGACTTTAACTCGCCTGAGATTTGGTGGCAGGTTATGGCGACTAAGCTACGCTACTCAGGCGCACCGTCAGAGCCGTCAAATTCCTAGACTCTGTCGCTGAATGTGAAGCGGCGCAATCTGTAACGGCACCAACGCGCGGGAAGAATATCCTAGACCTTGATCGCTGGAGCGGCGATCAAAGCCAGAACCAATATAATTGTCGAGTCGTTCATATGTGGCATTTGCGAGCACGATTTCCAAATATATCGGCCGTCCATTGGATGTCAATCAACGCTTGTTTGAAGTACAATAACGTAATCAAACGATGACGTATTGAGGAGCATGTCTACTAAGCTCCACTTTCCAGTGTACTAATAGTTACAAGTGAGTTCGTTTTATCACATCTAATGCTTGCTACATGATCTTCAATTGTGGAGTAGTGCTTCTGAAGAGAGCATACCTCCTTTTCGCACTTCTCATCCATTGTTAGGTTAGCCGCGTCCGATTTGATTGGTAGCACCAGTTTTCTTGCAATCTGCCTCAGTAACTCAAAATTTCGATTCCAAGTAACCGCCCTCCGGGAGAAATCTCATTGGTTTCCTTGCCCACCACCTTGAAATTAATACACTTCCTTTGCCTTGCTTTTCCAACGTGTGTGTTCTGTAATGTTTGGAACACACTTATTTTTCAAAATGCTTTGCGAAATATATGTGCTACGAAAACATGAAACATTTTTCTTAAACAAAAAGACAAGCCAACATAGGGCTACTATCCCGCGAATTCAACGAAACGTTATTCTGTAGCTTTCATTTAGTCTCTTTGCCGTTTACTACTACGACGTTTACTACCATGGCGTTTATAGCGCTTGCTACAGTAACTCTTTTCGAAGCATACTTCGGCTTTGGAAAGCGAAATATCACATCTGTACTGAATCGCCGGTTAAATCTTCAACCAATGCGCTTCTCTGTTACTGGCGCTTGCCGCCCGCTGTGCCAATCACAAACGATCGTCTGTACTGACTTCATTCAATAACAACTGACTGCGGCTCTCAGCAGATTCCGCTGTCGTTATGACGACGGTTGTCGCAACTGCAAGTACAAAGTGTCGTGCTGTTAAAAAGCGTTGACAGCATGAATGCAGGAAAGGGGGGGGGGGCAGGGAGTCGTTGCCCCCCCCCCTCCACACTTTTCAAGGGGGAGCAGCAGTGTTACAGGGAATGCTCCAAATTTGCACGGGGTTTTGAACTGAAAAAGCCACCTTGAGAACCTTTTGATGTCGTTCACGGTCATGTCCTTTAAAGGCCTAAAACGCACTGGTTGCTGAGTTACACGCTCGCAAAAGTGCGAAAAGGTTTATCGGAAGCCTATTTCAAAGTCGCCTTGGCATGAATGGCGTCACAGAAACGCCATGTGATCGTGGTCAAAATACAGGCTGTTTTCTGCTCATCATCAAAGCAGCATGGCCGCTGATGCATTCTCGAAAGCGACGATACGGCACGTATGATACAATACGCGGAAGATGATTGGCTGTTGGCAAGATTTCGCTGCTGGATGCGTGTCACGAGCGTAAGCGTGAGCACTTTCGGGCTGTGCGGCACTCGTCGTGAACGGGGCATTTTTCCTTATTTCTTGACCATAGGTCAATGTTATAAAAAAAACGCCACTGCCTGCAAAACAGTCCTACACCCAAAAAACGGGCACTGCCCCGAAATTTTTAAAAAAGAAGACGCCACGGTAAACCTGTATTTTTACCACTGCTGACGTTTTTTCTTCTACTGACGTATTTCAGACAGCTCGATTGGCGCCTTGTGTACCGGAGCACAAAACGTTGCACGGGTTATGGGTTAACAAGGCATTATAAAACAAGGGGAACATTGCAGTAATTTTAGATATATATTTTACCTCATATTTCACATATTGTACGACGAATTTAGATATTGAACAAAAAAGTGCGCGCTATAAGTACAGCCTCTTGAGCCGCACTACCATGAGCTCCCGTCGGGACTTGGTGTAGGAGGTAGATCACGTTGAAATGCGGTGTTTTAGCCGAAAACCTGTGCGGCAAGTGCGAGAAAACCTGCAATTTCATAGTCCCGGGCGCTGTGCAAGTGTAAGGTCACCCTTATTTGACAAAGGAGTGTGAATCAGGGGCTTGAAATGTGTGTCGCGGTCAGTGTGTCAGTCGCGGAAGTACGTGAAAAAGGAAAGCCATGGCCGACACGACGGAGAACAAGACTGTTGAGGAGACCACCAAGGTGGTGGAGGAGACCAAGCCGGAGGAGACTCCGAAGGAGGCTGAGGTGGAGACTAAGGAGTCGGAGGCCAAGGAGACTGAAGAGAAGGCTGCCGTCAATGGCGACGAAGAAACCACCGAGTCGAATGGCAAGGCCACAGAGGAAACCAATGGAGAGGAGCAGGGAGAGAAGCGGAAGTCTACTTGAGGTGATGGTGATACCAAGAAGGAAGACAGTCCTGTGAAAAAGCCCAAGCTTGATGCAGTTGAAACAGAAGAAAGTGGTGAGAGTATCACTGGTGGCGTGTGGCAGTGGCTTGTACTGATCTTGATGTGATGGGGAGTTTGCGTGCGAGGTTTATACTTCAGAGAGAGAACATAGCATGGCCGCTGATGTTATTAATGGCATATATGTTATTAATGACGCACATTCTACTGTCTTCACAAATTTTGTATGCAGGTGAGCATTGCTTGTGAGCCATCAATGTCACAGTCACTGCAACTTGCATGAGATGCAGGGTGCTGAGAGAGGTGGAAAACTATTCCTGTCGGTATCTTAGATAGCACTCAATGATATTTTATATCATGAGCCTTGAGTGCATTGGCAGCTCCGCTTCCTTGCATTTTGCACATCCAACCACAACTACATGCATTTGCCGTATCTCCAGCCTCGTGCAAGGTCAGCATGCTTGCAGTGTCATTTCACCACGTGTAAAATTTCCTGCCATGTTTTTTAGTAAAGCAACCTGATGACTGAAACATGTTGCAAGACTTTGGAAGTGGAAGATGTGTTTGCCAAAGTAGTGAACAAAGTACCACATTGGTTGACTACTCTGTCGAGCCTATGAGACAGCAACCTATAATTTATGAATGACTGGTAATAACTGATTCAGGAATGCCAAGAGACTATCAACAGCAAGAATGTCATTGCATCACAATGGTGATATCAGGGTTAACTATTAATTGCATAAATAATCCTAAGCAATACATTTTTTCTTGACAACCCAACCTTACCATCTTTACCGTAGCAATAGCAATGTTTTGGCAATCAATTCATAGCAGCGTTTCAGTTTCTATATGACACCGCATTTCCAGTTACAAATAATAAAGAAAGGAACTGCTGTGCACATCACATATCAATGTCAAGACTGCGTCACTGCAGGCAGGGATGGGTCGACAATACAGTATTTACAAGATCATCATCAACATCATAGCAGCAACAGCAGCAGCACAGCAAACCGTGCTTTGATATTAATAATCTGCCATAGAAGCTGGCGATCGCTACGTTCCGAATGTCAAACAGTCCGCGAAAGCTTTTTACGGCCAGAACCAAGACAAAAAATCCACAAACCACTCACTAATCCGCCACTTGACGCACTCTCCGCGACGAGAATGGCCAGCTGGCGTCAGTTTTCGTGTGCTTCGAAGCATTCTTTAAGTCTGGCTGCCAGATGCTACCAGGCGTTGCTGTCGTCACAGACCCATTCCATGACGCCATCAAACAGTGACGTAATGGGACGCATTGTTACAAACTTTGAAATTCTGCTACTTAGCATCGTTTTTGAACTTTGAAAGCTTACGAATAGTTACAAGTAAGCTGTTCCCAGCATATCTGAAGCCTACCCCAATATCTTCAAATGTCGAACATTTCCTTTAAGTTCTCGACAAAAAACCAAAACAAATCAGCCTCATATATGTGTCTATTTCACATGGTAAGCATTCGGCTGCACACTTGGTTCCAGTATATGTGCGATAACACGACACGCTGGATTCCGGCGCACGAATGTTGCGGGAAAGCGAACTGCACCAACTGCAATAATTAGAATCTGCTCGGATGAACAATAAATCGGCGGTATGTTTGCCTGAAATGAGCGACATCCCCACATATTCGACCAGCCGCTGAAGAGGACTAGATGATAACTAGTACGTAGAATTACGCAGAACACAGCACCACGCACGGATTTCATTCCGTAACTACGTAAGCCCACTATCACAAATGGTTTAGTGGCAGGCACATTGCCCTTGGCCCCACGGTTAGAGCTGTCTGCTGCAGCGGTTCACGCGGGTACGAACGCGGGTACGCTGTGGTCCAAGGGAGAAAATATATTTCTCGGAAAGACATCTTTCGCACGTCCGAAAATGAAGCATTGTTCTAACCGAATGGCTTCCACTGTGAGCAGGGACGTGCTGCCTTCACGCGCTTGTCTTCACCGCATCATTCCAAACTCAGTAAGGAAACGGGTTTTAGCAAAAATACAAGATCAGAGTACAACACCGAATGTGCCGTAGTTGGCAGCGGGGGGGGGGGGGGGGGGCAGGCGGCGACGACGGTCCTCTACGCTGACGCGGAGCGGCGCTCTGACCAGGCCCGCTGACCCAGGCCTGAGACCCGGCTGGCGTGACCTCAGGCCCGACCAACCAGACCGTGCGCCACCTGCACCACGGTGCGGTCCAACCAGGTGATGGAGTGGGGCACCAGGAAGCCGCCCTCGTAGAAGCCCAAGTGGCCGCCGTGTTCCGTTTCTATCAGCAGCATTTCCTCACGGGACTCTGTAGACAGATAGCGCATGGTCATATACGGCGAGCGGACCTAGCACACGGTCATGAAGAGATACAGCGAACGATCACGTGGAGATGGAGAGCTCACGGCACGCACGCACGCACGCACGCACGCACGCACGCACGCACGCACGCACGCACGCACGCACGCACGCACGCACGCACGCACGCACGCACGCACGCACGCACGCACGCACGCACGCACGCACGCACGCACGCAACGCACGCACGCACGCACGCACGCACGCACGCACGCACGCACGCACCACCACACACACACACACACACACACACACACACACACACACACACACACACACACACACACACACACACACACACACACACACAAACCACCGAAAGAAGACACGCAGCATGCCGCAACAGGGCGGATAAGTAGCCCGTGGCCAGCGGTACAAGGATTAAACCGACCGGCCGGCCGACCAACAGACAGACAGACAGACGAAGCGATCACACAGTGGCAAACAGCAGTCGGACCACAGGCTCAGTAAAGCCAACAAAGGCCAGATGTTGGAAGCTCTAAACAGTGCTGGGCCACAGGCTCACAACAAAGCCCAGATGCTTGAAGCTGTAAACAGTGCCAGACCACAGGCTCAGAATAAACAACAAAGCCCAGATGCTTGACGCTGTAAGCAGTGCCGGACCACAGGCTCAGTATAAATAACAAAGCCCCGATGCTGGAAGCTGGAAACAGTGCTGGATCGCAGGCTCAGTATATACAACAAACGCCAGATGCTGGAAGCTGGAAACAGTGGCCAGAAAATGGACCCAAAATGGACCACACAGGTCAGATCTCGAAGCTGTAAACAGTGCCCAGACCATAGGCTCAGGACACACAACAAAGGTCACATACACATTCTACGGACAAGCAGCCTCGTCTCATCTAGCAGACGACATCGGGAAGCAGACGCCCGACGCTCGACATCGGGAAGCAGACGCTCGACGTCCTCTCACGCGGCTGATGATCATGGATCATCTGAAAACCCGTCACTGGGAGCACAACTAGGGGTGCACACTGCGCACTGGGCATGGCGGCTTCACGCTACTTCTATACCAATTGCATGTTGACACCGAGGATAGCAACCGTCCGATTTAGTTCAGTTCAAATGCTGACCGATTTCTGGAACGGTTATTAGTGGGTTACCGCATTGCATTTTTATCAACCCGTCTATGACATTCACCAAGTCGTTTCCGGGTGTGTTAATGCCATGCGTTCCTAGAAGGTTAAATACAGTAGAAGATACCCCAAATCACCACGCATTGATATACCTGTCATCCCAGCCATGGTATAAAATGGAACATTTGTTATGAAATGTAGTAAATGTCGACTGCTTATGAAATACATTTCAACAGGTGCTACTGTAAATGTGAATATCTGAAACCAAATGTTAAATGACGGTGACAATGACGCGTTGCGAGAGGAAAAGTCGTGTTGCACACGTACAGCACTTATCATGTGTTCCTTAGCTCAGTGTTTGATAAAAGCAGCACGCTTTGCTCACGCCCATTGGGCGTTCGTTATTATCTTCAACAACATTGCTTACAATGCTGAGGTTGTGTTTAGCCACACAGAACATGTTTAGTGTTGACCGCAATTGGTGAACATATATCAATATCCACATTTTACTTCTCGACGCCCCAAGTTCTTCCTGTAAACTCCAAACCATCAACTTAAAAACCGCACTGCATAACTTTTGAAGCCACCTGGTTGCAATACAGAATCGATACATTTTTCTGATCTTTTGCAGATGCACGATACATTAACATACGCAATTTCACAAATGATTACCCGCTCCGAACACATCCCAAGCTTATCCCGTGCTAAACATCACATCAAGTCGGTTTGCACTGGCTTTCAGTCTACCAGCTCTTTGCATTGTGACTGACATCAGAACTAAGCGCTCCCGACTAAAGCCATTCCGTCCGTTGGACAAGAGCAGCCCGGCGCGATAATACATAGGGACGTGCTATCGGCATGTAGTGGCGGGCTGGAGTCTCTGGAGCCCTTCTGCGCTGAACAGGCCGTCGCACGGGGGAAGCCTTGGCGGGCGAATACCCGTATGTCTCAAAGCGATGAACACGGCATGGATCTGTTTTGTCATTCAGCTCAAGCGGTCACCCCCAATCCACGCCTCTTGTGAAAACATCACAAGAACGCCTCCATGACTTAGGCACAATATCCTCGCGTCGACACCACCAGTGGGCGTGAGGTGAGCAAGACATTCCGAACGCACCGCCTGAGTTTTTTTGTAAGAAACGCGGGGTCGATCTCAGCCGCCTATGGTGCAGGAGCGCCAAGAATGCCACGATATCAGTGCAGACACCAGCGGCAGCAGCAAAACTTTTCTGCCGCCGCAGTGGCGCTGCTCAATTATAACGCAGGCGCATCTGCCGAGCACAAATATTACGCAGCGCGCAAACAACGTTCATGGGGATGACACCTCGTCGGGGGGTCGGTTTATTGGCTACGCAACTTCTCTCCGAAGCGGTCAGCGACATCCGGCAGGTAAAAACTAATAAAGAACATAATACCAACATGCAATCACAGCTCAGTCCCAGCGAGATCGCATACAACTGGTAGCAAAAAAGTCTACCCGGCTGTTCCGGGAGCAATCTTCTTTGATCGGAACGTTTTTTTCTGGGAAATCTTTACTTGAATACAAACGATTCCATACAAAAAAGGGACCGCAAAGGTACTATTCACGACAAATACGACATTCTCGATCCAACCATCCCTATTTAATTTCACCTTATCCCACTTCATAGTTCCTACTTTACCATTGCTCATAACTCATCTCCGTGCCATCCAGGAGGCCACACAGACAGACACTAAACTGTGGAGACGCACTACACGGCGCACAGCAGAGAGACGCACAGCAGTCAGGTGAAAAAGTCAGCGCTCAGGAGAAGCGATGAAAACAGCTTGTGGCCGCACCGGCCGGCCGCCCAGCTGCGATGAAGATGTCTTAAACCAACGCCAGCTGCGATGAAGATGCCCTATGCAGTTTGTGACAGGCCATCTCTCACTGCGACTGGACACATGATCACAGGCATACCGGCACCAATGTGTGCAGCAATGAGCGAACATTTACATTGACGCAAACAATCTACCTTATCGTAATCTAGCTCCAACGTCGCATCCGGTCCCTTACGCGCGTGGGAGCTCCATTATTCAGTGCGAGTCTGCGTGGATATCTATATTATGTGTCTTACTGTGAGGCACGTGTACTGCGTGCTCAGAGAGTACACGACCTATGTTCAAGGGAATTGAGGCGTCATAAAATGATGAGGTTCGAACGGATATAGTGAGCGACGGCGATAAAAGCACACACATTCATTGTGATTGTCACTTATCGGACATTTCGTTGTTAAGTGGAAGTCATCTCACATCCAAGTGTTGCTTAAACATCACTCCAAGGCACTTAATTCGCATTAAGAATTGTTGAACGTGCTGACCAAACTTCGGCCCACTGGCTCATGTCCCTCATTGAGCAATGGGTACTTCGACCAACCTTGGTAAGCTAACGAAAACGTTTGTTTCGGTTAATTTTTCCTAATTGCGGAGAGATATATGGATTTCTCTGCATGTTATCAACCCAGGTCGACTTTAACACATCTTTTGATACGAGGGACCTGCATGTGGCATCATGCTAACTACCAAGCACTTTCCAAGCCAATGAAATCATGGCACGTTCAAAACTGATTTTGAATGACTTGATGAAATGACTCTAAAACCTATTTTGAATGGCGTATGCTGAGACCAGTGAAAACCATCGTCATCCTCAAGAATAATCGCTCCCAAATCTGTCAACAGCTGTCAGCCTTGCGACCCCGGTCCAGTACACCCCCACCCCAACCAAACAAAACTGATCTTGAATGGCTTATGCCGAAATCGGTGAAAACTATCCTGCTCCTCAAAAATCATCAATCCCAAAACCTTCAGCATATGTCAACTTTACGACACAGGCCCAATACGCCCCCACGCCAACCAGACAAAAAGTGCAACCAGAACAACTTCAGGTGACATTGGCCATGACCAAAAAATCCTCCAGCTTGCATGGATAGGTAGCATGATGTTGCAGATAGGCATATGAAGAATACGATATGCTCAGCGCGTGGTCTATTTTCAGGAGTAAGGAGACGAGCATTTCAAAAAGGACAAAAATGAAGGTGAGCTGAATCCCACACCCCGATTAATCGACCGCCGCCGGACACCCTTGTGCGGTTCATTTTCCTTTTTCCTCACTACAGGCAGGATATTTGACATCCCATCAGCGTATCGGCTAGCATGCGGTCTCAACCGGGATTCCAACGGAAACTTTACGCTTCGAAGCTAAAAAAAAATCATAGCGGGCACTGGCAAGCGGGCAAAAATACGCGCACTATCGTAATAGTGTACTCTAACATATACCACCAGAACATCAAATAGAGCACGCGTTTTCTGGTTGGTTGACCATAGTCTTACGCCAATGCGCTCAATTCCTGCAACATGCCTCCTAAAACTCCCCTATGAAGTCACCATTAGCTGCACGAAGGTCTTGAAACATTGAGTACACATGTAAAAAGGATGGCCTTGGAAGTCATCACGTTGCAAGACTGAAATGGCTCACCTCTACAGCCGGAAAACCCCTTGTAGCCTCCACCGCACAGAAACCGGGCCGTAGACGGCCACGCAAGGAATGCTTTCCGTTTCACAGTATTTCAACTTGGAAGCGTAAAATCCGATGCTCCGAGTTAACGAAAATCAGCTGTCGGCTGTCATACAAAGTTTCGATGAACCCTTTAAAGTTGCGCCGAAATGGCGCCAATGACAGCGATTGTTCTCATCGGCATTGTTCTCAACTCAGCGACCGGCGTGATTTAACGACTCGCACTGCCAAACGTCCGTCAATGCGTGGCTGGCTGAACATTCCCTCAGATAGTAGAGCGAGGACGTATTCGGACGGGTCAGTAGAGGACTCGCAGCAGCC